CCCCCCCCCCACGGAAAAATTTTGTAAAAATAGTTCTCTGAGAACTTTGTGCTAACTTTACTAAAATTTATTGAAAGTATTAATCATTTACAAGCACTTCTCTATGATTCACAAAAATAGGTGCTCACTGGCACTTATACTCACCATAGCTACAAGCATGTACACATGTAATTTATCATGCATTGTTATACTGATTCATTCACACTACTATAAGTCTATCTATTTAGTTAGAAACAATTTTTGAAGTTCAAGCTAAAGTTTAAAAAGCCCAACCATTACTGTGACAGAATGTTTGTCCAACTGTTGCTCCAGTGCACATGTACACAACAGATCTATATATCTTAGCTTTTGCAAAAGCTTTTCAAATTCATTCCAGATTGTCTTGGAGTTAACAAACCTCCTCCTGTTGCAGTGGCAGTCCTTGTTGCTTCAACAGATCATCTTCCTCATAATTATAAAGCACCCAGGCTTCTATTCACCTAGCTGCATAATATCCTGGCAGTGGTACTTTATAAAGACCTGATCTGTTTCAGCTTAAGTCACTGGCATACCTTGGTCAAGGGCTTTATCAGAAGTTCTGCCCTCTCGAAATGTCTCCTTGGGGGCTGAGATTGGTGGATTGGTCATTGCCGATGTATTGGTACTAGTCTCTATGGTCACTTTTGCCACAACTGTTCAACCCTCATTGATGTAGCCAAATTGGTGGCTGTCACTTATGGAGTAGGCTCTGCCAGTATTGTGGTAATCAATGTAGTGGAGGTGGTGGAAGGAGTGGTTGTGCTGGAGTTGAGTTCTTTTTTGACTGATTTTTAGCAGTAGAAAGCTACTACTAGGATGCTGGATCACATGATCCCATCGAAGGTGTGCACACATACTGTGTCTATTGTTTCTTTCAGTGAAGCATCCTCAATGGGGTACTACAATGGCTTTCTTTGATACACCAACTTGCATCTTTTTAGAGTTTTTCATCATCTGCTTTATGTCAGCTTGTGGTGCTGGAGTGGTAGGTGGCTGAAACACTAGATGTCACTGGGTCATCCAAACTCACTTTCTTTGGCTCCTTAATATCAGGTGTTAGTGGGACAATGGCAAGTGATACCTTAGAATGCTCCAGAGTCTGGAGGGCCAGACTCACAGTCACTGCCTTCAGAGCACACGTTTGCATCATTCAGCAATGTATCTTTGTCCATTGATTCTGGGGAATGAAACAGGTCCAACCTACATGTGGAATGCAGTATATACACCTCTTTAGTACCATTAAAGGCAAAGAGAAAAGACTACAAGTTCCCTCCATGTCAGTTCCAAGGAGGTATCTGCAATGGAGAATATTCAAATACTGCTGACCAGTTCTAAAAATGAAGACAGCCAGTAGGATTAAGAACTTGATCTTAAATAGTCAAAGACAGCATTTAAAATGAATGGTTTAAGCAATACCATACTCATTAGAAAAAGTAAACTCTATCCAGGATAACCCATCTGGACAAGTGAGTTTGGTGTATCTAGCCCATAACACAATCCCTTCTGCTGAATCGGGAATACTTTAGTCACAAACACGACCATAACCTCTGCTGCTTCCTACCTCAATGTGGCTTCATTGATGGTCTACAGCTATATGGTACCCCTCTGCATTTCCCTCCACTACTGTCTGGTTGTTAACAGAGCCCCGGTTTGGTAGGAACCAAATGGGGTAGTGAGAGTATCCACACTTGTGACCGATAAGAACAAACACTGCATGGATGATTACCTGATTTCTCTTTCAATTTCTGTACATATGCTTATCGTAGGTTCATAATTCATTAACAACTTAATTCCACTATGTTCAAACTAACGATCAAATAATTATATGTCTAGCTTAATCTTTTACGACAAATTACACGTCATGAATATCAGTTTCTAACAAGTATGTTTGAACATCTAAAAAAAGTCTCCATTTATATTTTTTAATATAAAACTCGTGCTTCTTCGTAGCCCAATATATTTTAAGCAGATCTCATTAACATATGCAAATAAAATTACAAACTTGACATATACCGAAACATTTTTAACAAAACTTAAAGAACTATTTACGAAAACTACAAACGTCTTAGTTTATATTGATTTCTAGCCCAATGTTATAATACGTGCGGTATATATTTGTTTTAGTACGTTATTAGTCAAATAGAATAATCCACTGTAAACGAAACATAAGGACATTCCACAAAATGATTCGAGATAAGATGATAAAAGAAATTTTCATCATTTAGAAACCCTACAAAATATATACACTTCAAATCCATAACTAATTTGACTGTCTCCGTCGTATTTGACAATAGATCTTTGACCCTCACATTATCCCTTCCCCTATCGCTTAAAACTAACGTGATTCACCATAGCCTAATATACTGTTGCGTCAGCGAGGTCACGTGACTAGTATGACGCCACGTCGTTCTAGAACATTCACGTCTTTTCCTTAAATCTCGGGATCCTTCTAGATATAGTGTAGTCTTGTATATACAAGACGGTCACAAGTTGACGGCAACAATGTGTGTAACTGAATGGAATATTGTTGAGTCGAGCACGTGAGACGTTCGTTGAGAATTATAGCGTTTGTTATAACGCGACTGTTGAAATTAAGTGTATCGCAAAGTTATATTCAGAAAGAATAAACCAGTTTTATTTTAGAAAGGACTTCTATCGGTAAAGTTTCTTCGGAAAGAATTTTTACGGAAAATTAACGAACGAACGGAGACGTAACAATACTATCATTAATATATGCAAGTTAAATCACAGAATTAAGAGTATCATACATAATGAAACATTTATTAACAAAACTTCAAGTTAGGAAAAGACGACTTTATCTAAGATTTATCAACAATTATGTGTATACATTTGAAGATTTTAAGAACAAACAAAATAACTGTGATAAAAACATACAAGTTTTTAACAAAATATTTAAATTTTATTGCTTTTATTATTTCTTACGATAAAAAAATACTTTACCAGAAGAGATATATTTTTGCTTTCGCTTTTATAAATTCATCGCATTTACTGTACAATGTTCATCAGAATATGCCATACGCCCAAAATAAAACTACCTTCACTATAGTTTAACATAACTAATTGTGATCATCTTCTGTATGTCACTGAATTTAAGTCAGTAAATATAGTGTATTGATTTTTTTACAAACGTAAATAAAATAACGACCTACATCTCCAGAATGTAACTTTATAAGCTCAATCAACGAAGCTCTATTAATATGAAATACAAATCCCTCTTTAAAGAAATATATTGATTCCACAACATATTCATTCAACACCGACACTTCAGCTTCATTATGATTCGTTCGCTTAATACTGATACGTTTTCAAGTATAGTTCTCCAACACTCAAAAGTACATCGTAATTGATGGTTAAAAGTAAACTTTCTAAGACGTTGTATTTATTTCTATTGTTTATCATATTTCCGTTCAATCATTTTTATCAGTATATTTATTCACTTCACTATGGGACTTTTTATATATTGATGTTTGTTGTACCTAACGAGATCTATTAAGTAAAACCCGTAGTCGTCAGTGGGTATGGGGGACATAGTGTGGTAGAAATGTTATTACCCACTCTTATACTTCTAGAAAAAATTCTAAGAAACCGAATAAAGAATGTTGTTTAAACGCTTATGGTTAATATCTTGTGGGAGAGACCAAGATCTGAAATGTTATTTTTACACGCCTCTGATTCTGAATTCACAATGGACAGATTAATAGGAATCTAACCTATATAAAAGTCAGTGTGTATCGCGTCATAAAAGCCAAAATGCATTTATCCAGATAGAATAGTTTGATTGCTGTCTGCGCATTACGATTTTAATAATGGGGTGAAAAGGGGCCGTTCAGCGAAACCTTATAAATGTAGTGAGTGTTAGTATAATAAGCCTAAAGTAAAGACGTCGTGTGGGATCACCTAGCCTAGAGCAAAGTGCATAAAATTTATCATGAAATTAAAACTATCGATTCAATTTGAAACTTAAATCGTTTCTGAATTAAGCTATTTTCCGTTATATCACCAACGTTTTTTATAAAGAAAACAAAACAAATCTCTTTAATCGACGGAGGCTTTAAATTAAGAAATCAATATTTTTCCAGTTTTTTTGTAAAAACATATCATTTTATACTTTCAGAACAAAGACTAACAACAATATTAGGTTATACTTTTGTTGCTAAGCAACATGACATAAAAGCCATTGTTGGAACCTCGTGTTACCAAAACGCACTGGATTTTCTATATATTAGAAGTTATTAATTTAACTGATTTTTACCAATAATTACTCTATGAATACACCGCGAATTCATTTCATAGATGATCTTAATTTTGACTGAGGAATTTCCCGAAGTTTGCTGCTACGCAAAATTTATTTATTTAAATTAGTTATGAAATGTGAGGTTAGAATATACTACGGGGTGGGGGTGGTAAAACTTGGCCCGTCATTTTTGACGGGCTATATGCTAGTGTTGAAGTTGCTTCAAGATACAGAGTTGATTTATTTTTAATTATTTACTTTTTCAACAATATTGTTCGAGACGCATTTTGTGTAATTGTTAAAATGTATATATATAAATGATATAGAAATTTTCTTTGGTTTTGAAGACGGGTTTGTGCCCGAAACGTCAATATTACCATCATTTGTTTCATCCATTTAATTGTACCATCGTTCAAACACCTACAACAGTTTTAATAGTCTAAAATTATTTTTGTGAATTCTAATCTAATTTTTACGGATAGTTCAAAGCCTGTATAATTCATGTAGCGCAGTGTACACTGTAAGTTTAATGAAGAAAAACAGCGATTATCCAGTGGAAACTTTATTTACCTAAGGTTCAACCATACTGTTTTATCAAGTAGAAACATTACTAACAGATTCCCAGTTTTAACGAAACAAACAGCTGATGGAATT